TATTTTAAAATATTGCATTTCCATGCAGGATTAACATGCCTTTGGAAATAGCTTTGAATTGTATAACGTGTACAATCCATTAACGGTCAAAAATTTAAATCATTAATACTATCTATATATATTTTTTGAAATTCTTTTTTTTCGTTTATAAATGTAATGATAAAATGGCAACAGAAAAGGATTTAATTAATGGTATTTATTAATTGAAAATATATAAAATATTTATAATTTTTCATTAAAAAATATTTTGTATTATACATAATTAATTTATAAATTACTTTCGATTATACTTTACTATTTATACCTATTTATATATTTCCTATATAAATTTTGTTGTAAATGTAGGATTTTATAGAATATTTAGTATTTATTACTGCTATAAATTTTATCATAAGTGTTTATAATAAATCAATGAATTATAGTTTATATAATACTGTGTATATCATTTGTAATATAAAAATAAATATTATAAATAATTACTTATGTGATACTTATATTTATGTAACATATGCATTACATAGCAATTGTTATCAGAGTATTATCTGCCAGCAATAACAAATGTTATATTATTAAATATTGTTACATTTTCTGAAAAAGTAGGAAACACATAATAGCATAATTTTGGAATATACTGAATTTTTATTCTTTAAAACTAGTTTGAAATAAATTATATTACTTAATTTCTCTTTGTTAATTAGTAAACTTGTTTTTGCAGCAGTCAGGGAGTCACTTACAGCTGATGGAAATTTAGGTCGCATAAAAGCTGAGATGCGTACAGAAGTTATAAAATTGCTAGATAATTCAAACAAAGGAAATAAAACAAAACTCCCAAAACCACCTTTAGATATTATATTCTTAAATGAACTTATTCGAGAATATTTAGATTGGATGGGATACAAATACAGTTCCACTGTATTTATTTCAGGTATTTAATAATGTACTTTATGTGTAATATAATAAATTGCAGAAATTAATGTTCACAAAATTATGTACTTAAAAGATAATATCTTTGTTTTAGAGTGTGATTTATCAAAGCAAGCTCTTGAAAGGTCTTTGCTTTTGCAAAGTTTAGGATTGAAGGAAACTGAGAATAGTACAAAATTACCATTATTGTGTAATATTGTAGAAACATTTAAAAATTTAAAAAGTACATAAATATATAAAATTATATACAGGTATGATATGGGTATAAAAATCTAAAACACTATTTAATATTGTAAATGAACAAAAAATATATAAATTTTTAATCTCCCATTTTGTGATTAAATAAAAGTTTTTGTAATTTATTAAAAATTTTTTCTTTATAGAATTAAATTTTATATAATATGTATAATTTTGTACAATAAATCATTTATATTATTTTGTAAAACAAGAACAAGAATAAATTAAAAGAATTTCGTCTTTTTATTTCATGACGTCTTTTACATATTGACATTACATTACGAAAGTACAATATAATGCTGAGATATTGGAGATCTTAAATATAACTGCTGTAGTTTTCTAAAAGTATTTTATCAGATTTCTTAAAGATATTATCTACTGAATGCTATAATGTACATTAGTTATTGTAATAAATTTACTTACAGCATTTTATAGGTGGAATTAGAATATGGACAATCATGTAAAGGCCTTAATAATGTTTCAAAATTAAATATAACAAGTTTAATGACATACTTCGTTTACCCATTCCTTATTCTGTTCAATTTATCAATCCCAAAAGTATTGATTAATAATAATAAGTAATGAATCAGCAATGTCGGTTCAAATTATCTTTGAACACTTATAATATTGTGAATATAGAATAAATCGTCTACATCGTTCCTTAGATATCAGATAACAATCTCAATTTGATGTATACAATTGTAAATAATTCTGATAGAGGATCTTACATTAAAAAGCATTCACAAAGAAATATTACTGTTAGAATTTATTTTTAAAATATTAAAAATATCTAATGATGTCATTTGTGCTTTGATTTCTTCTTCTTTTTTGTTTGTTTATTTCTACTCTTTGATTTTTTTGATTTCTTTTTGTGTTTTTCTTCATCACTACTTGTTTCCGACGAATCTGAATAAGAATCTGAATCAGAACTACTATCTTTCTTCATAGACTTCTTTTTCTTATGTTTCTTATGCTTTTTCTTTTTCTTTTTATGTGACTCATCTGAACTATCAGAATCGGTAGTTGAACTATCAGAGCTACTAGATGAATCTTCGCTACTTGTGGATTTCGATCGCTTTTTAAGTGATTTTATGTCCATTTCCTTGTCTATATCTGGCTCATCAAGTTTAAGTTTCTTGGCAGGTAATGGTACTACTTTACCATCTTCACCATCTGATTCTGAATCCGAAGCACTATAATCAGGCTCAAAACTAGCTTCATCGAGTATACTACGTTTACGATCGGATACAAGTCTTGGATTCTTCCTTTGTTTCTTTACAGATTCTGTAACCGGAGGTTCGGGATTTTCATAATTTATTTTAGTTTCATTGCTTTCAGGTTTATCCTTTAAAACTACATTTTCTTTGTGTTTCTGTTTTTTCTCTAAGTTTTTATCTTTATCTTTCTTATGTTTCTTTTCTTTCCGTTTCTTGTGTTCTTTGGATTTACTTCTACTTCTATGCTCTTTCTTTCTTTTCTTGTCTTCTTTTGTTTTCTTATCTCTGCGTCTCTCATCTTCTTCGTCTCTACCCTTTAAAAGACCTATTTTTGGAATATCACTCCTTTTGAATGTACAAGATGGTGTTCTTCCCCTTCTTTCTTTATCTCTATCTTTATCTCTATCTTTATCCATTCTTTCTCCTTTAGAATCGTTACGAGTTGACCTAAAATCCCCTCTAGAATCGACTCTTGGATCCCTTTCTGATCTCATATCATGTCGTTCACTTCTGAAGTCATTTCTTTCCTTTGAACGATCACCTCGATCTTTATTATCTCGTTTTCTATCATCAAGAAATACTTTACGTTCGCTTCCTGATATGGATAATGATGAATCAACGCGTCTATCTAACAGTGGAGAAATTCGTTTATCTCTTGTGCTTCGAGGAGATCGACTTCTAGATTGATTTTCACTTTTTGTTTCGCGTCTATCTAAAAAGCTTTTCATGGGGCTAATTTTCCTTTCTTTATTTTCATCCACTTTCTCGCCCAATCTTTCTTTGGCAGAAAGTCTCGTAGGTGAATAAGTTTCTGGCACTGGCTTAAATTTTGTTCTATCTAATTTAGCTTTCTTCACTGGTTCTGTAATTTCAACATTTCTTTCATTTCTTCCTACATTTATGGTAACATTGACACTTTTCCTTGGTTCTCTATTAGGTTCAACTTCAAGTACTTTAGGCTCTGGATTCTGATATAATACTTTTCTACTTTCACTTATCTTTTTAATTTCAATAGGTCTAATGGCATTAATGGCTTTTTGGAAAATTGCATTTTCAGCTCTTTTTAGTACCTCAGATGTAACTACTTTTGTGGATTTAGGTTCATCCATTTGTATTTTTTCTATAGGAGATTCGCACACATCGTCTGTTTTCTCAGTAGTATCATCCCTTTCCCATTTAGAAAGTTCAGGCATTGGAGCTAAAAATTCATCTTTTTTAGGAGACTTTTCTTCTAGCAAAGTAGTTTTATCTTCTGTTTCATTTTCCGAAAGCAAAGAATACTTTTCTGTAATGACAGTATTTATTTCGGCATCATCTAATCCGCTATAAAGACTATCAATAGGCTTGATTTCAGATTTTAATTCTGGAATTGGCTTGAAATTAGGATTAGGAGGATTTGTTCCAAATTCTGTATGATCAATTCTTTCTGGACTTGTCTCATTAAATTCTGGAGGCTCTGGATTCATGGCTAAAGATTTATCTTCAAATTCTTCTTTAATTGATTCTTCTATTGCATTTTCAGGAGGAATGCAAACTATTCTACTATCAATATTTTCATCTTCATTACTAGGTTTTATAATGTCAGTTTTTGTGGGAGACATGCTTTCTTGTTTATTATCCACTATTAATTCTTCATGTTCTGCTGATTTAGTAGGTTCATCTTTTGCAATTTCTTTTTGGCCTGATTTCTTTTCTTTTTTCTTTTTCTTTTTCTTTTCCTTTTCATCATCTTTTTTCTTTTTCTTTTCTTTAATTTTCTTCTCTTTCTTCTTCTCCTCATTCTTTTCTTCATGATCTTTCTCCTTCTTCTTTATACGTTCAGGTGATAGATCCTTTGTATCTACCCTAGATTTCTGTGAATAAGGTGTTGGACTTTTTCTATTCTTTTTTCTTTCCACTGAACGTCTTTCATAACGTTCATGTCGATCCCTGTCCTTTTCAGATTCGTAATCTCGTTCACGCCTATCTTTTTCACGAGAACGATTTTTATCATCTTGTTTGTGACGGTCTCTTTCATCTCTGTAACTAAAGTAACAATATTGATATTATTATTTTGAAATATCAAAATTAAATTAATTTAACTACTTGTACATGTAATTAAAATTATGAATGTAATTGACATTTTTTAAATTATTATTCATATGAAAATAAATAATAACAGATTATATTTTTGTATTACAATATATTCTATAAATATTTAATACAATATAAAATAAATGTACCGATCTTTGTCGTAATCTTTTTTATCGAGATGCCTATCATCTTCTCGTCGATCCCGAGTATGTCTATCATCCCGTTCCTTTTCTTTTTCCCTTCGATCACGATCATCTTTTTCTCGTACTCTGTCATCATGATCTCTAGATAATCCTTGCCTTTCACGATCATCGCGATCTCTGTTCAAAATTCTTCTATCTCTTTCATCTCTTTCACGTAAACGGTCATCACGTTCACGTCCCCTGAATAAAAAAAAAAAAATAGTTATTTATCACTTTTCTTAATAAGTTTATAAAATCAATTTTATATATCGCTTGTAAAAATTGCTAACGTAAATCTACTTATTCATATTAATGTAATTATTTGTTATTATCTTAATATTTAAAGCAATTTTATACCTGTCTTCTCTTAATGGTAATCTATCTCGATCTTCAGTATCATGATCTTTAAGAGAATGCTCACGATCTTCTTGATCTCTTAATAAACGTCGATCTCGATCGTCCCGTAAAGACCTTTCAGAAAGCTCTACACCTGGTGGTGAAAGGTCATAATAGCCCTCTGTTCCAGGTGGTGCAACATCGTCAAATCTTTTATGAGGCACATCTCGTAAAGGACTACCAAACCGTTGGCTAGATGGTCCAGGATATCTGCTGACAAAAAATCACGAAAGATGTTTATATTTTTGTTACATTACTTAAAAAAATTATTTAAGTTATACATTTGATTTATAAAAGATCAATGTTATGTAAATTTTTTAATTTATAGATTATTAAAATTTAAAATAGAATTAAAAACTCATACACTTTTGTATCCTTTAAATCTAGGTTCAATTTATAATATTCATTACAATTTTTATTCATAAATTCATATTTTTTGATAAAGATACATATAAAAGTATGTTATTGTTATTTGATTATATATACATTCATTAATTCTAAATCAAAAGTTACAGTTATGCTTTGTCTAAATATTAATTATTAAAAAAAAATTAATTTTACCGTTTCTTTTGTTTATTGAGAAACTGCTATGAAAAATTAAAACCTTCATATAAAAAGCTTTAATATAAAGCTGATTATGAAACCTTCATACTAAAGCTGAAAAGATGAATGAATAAAATTACCTATTATCAATTATATTTACTCTCTAATATGTCATAAAAACGAAAAGCAAATAAATCAACATTTATAACTTTAAATACATTGTGAGCACAAAACTATATATTGATTGTACTCTTTTAAAAACATTAATACTGCATATTTTACTCACCAACAATGCTATTAAACCATATAAATACTGTTATATTAATATGTTGTACAATGTATTTTTAAGTTGTAATCAATATCGTTTTAATAGCTTTCTTAAGAATATTCTATGACATTTTGTACTTCAAGCACTGAAAACAGATAAAAAGAAATGTTTTTTCTTATGTTACAAATGTTGATTTGGCCCTGAATTCACCTGATTCAGAAACCATGCAGATCTGTCAATCAGCAGGGTGGCTTCCACAATCTCCAAGTTGGTCCTTGTTGTATACACTTTTCCTTGCTTCTGTCTTCTTCTTTCACTTTTTGGTTATTTGTATATTTCATAACGTAATGTCATTATGTGCATACAAATAATATCTTATATGCATGCAAATGACAGAATCAATCATTCAATATAAAAATAATAACGAATTAAAAAAAGGAAATTAACAAAAATATTTGTGTTATTTTCATAAAAATGTTTCCTTACGTCGCGTATACAAAATTACATTTTCTTTGCAAATAATACTATTATAATGATCTTAAAAAAAAACATAACATTAAAAGTTACAGCATTAAAAGCACTTATCTTTTTACAAAGAAAAGTAAAGCTCAGTATTTACATGAATCACAGCATAAGAATAACTAACTTGTAGTATTATGAACCTATTTTAGATAAACGATTTTTAACATGAAAAACAATATAACTTTACAGCTTTAAACAATATGCTTAATGCATATAATATTTACATATAATAATTATGTAATCCTTTTTATAAAGATTTAAGTATTAATGTCATAAAGTGATAGAAATATTGTTACAAATATTTTAATATTGCAATAAATATGTTTGATATGAAAAACCTTTTAAAACGTATTACAGTTTTCCTAACAATGCAAGACATTAATGTCTATACGCACTCATTCCACTATTGTTAACATAGCATGTAAGTTTAATAAGTTCTTTCCTTAGTTCTTCCTAATAAATTATCTTCAATATTTTAAAGTTAGTATAGTACTTACAGAAGTTGATTATATTTATTACATTATTTTTTAAATAATTTGGAACTTTTATACCTTTAATAAAACTACATATATTAATATCAATGAATTATAAAGAAGATATAAACTATGTATGATTGATTAACCATGTGATTATTTACACTGATTCTTTAGTTATGTAAATGAAAATTTGTGAACTATCATAAATAGTACAATACTGAGATTAAGTAATATCAATTTCCTAAATCATATTGCTGCAAGCTGATACATTAATGTTGCATGATTTAATAACACTAACAAAATTTATTATTGAAGAGCATGAAACTAGAAAGGATCATAATAATAAGATCTTTTCTATTTCATTTATTGTTTTATAATATTGCAATTAACATATTTAAACAATACTAATGCAATACTTTCTAATATATTTTTATACAAAAAATAAATATAAAAATAAATATTATACGTAGATCCTTTTAATTAAATGCTTTTCAATTTACATGAAAATCCTAAGTTGTGAGATCATTAAAAAATCATATATTTTAAAATATATTTCATTAGTACCTCATGTAAATGTTTATTTTTCTTTTGTAACTGTTTATAGTCTTTTAACTTAATATTTGATATATATGAAAAACTGAAATTTATCCAAAATTAATGGAAATATTTAAAGCAAAGAATAAACATTATTGAAATATTAAATACAGTATTGTAAAAATATAAAAATATTCACTAATGTAAGAAAATATCAATCTATTATAAGATAAATTGATGCCTAAATATAATTTACATATCCCAAACTTTAAATATATCTTAATCTAGATTATCTATAATTTTATCTTAAAAAGTAGGATGTTTTTAAGAAATTAAAAACTTAAAAAAAAAAAAAATGATTACATATTTGCTCCAATACATATATTTCGTTATTTACTAAAATTACTTTAGATAATCAAGATTATCATATTTAAGTTTCATTTTATTAATTATTTTGTTTTTAATAATAATTAAGTTATTTTGTAATTATTTGAAAGAATAAAATATTTTTTGAAATTATCTAAATATTTCTACGAAAATTTTCCGTAGTACATACAGTATTTTGTAATAAAAATACAGCAAAAGATTACAACAGAAGATACACACACATACATACACACACGAACAAAACATATGTATATATGTATGTATATACGTATGTATGTATGTATGTATGTATGTATGTGTGCGTGCGCGCGTGTGCGTGTGTTGTGTGTGTGTGTGTATGTATGCGTGTGGTGTGGTGTGGTGGTGGTGGTGGTGTGTGTGTGTGTGTGTGTGCGTGTGCGTGTGCATATGTATATGAACACGCATTCATTTACGCACCTTTTTATTATTTTCTATCGATGATTTAGACTAAATCAGTATTTAGGAAGGCAACAACATGCATTTTTTTCTTACGATATATTACTCAAATTGTTTAATTGAGTTTTAATTTTAAAGCTTAATATGTAACTTATATATTTGTTTTTAATACTTGGATATGAAAACGTATTTATTAATGGTTCTATAAATTTATAATCTAGGTTGTGAATAAAATAATGATCATCTTTTTGAATCAACAATATAGCTACAAAATAATTGTTACATTATTTACAAGCTAATGATTTATTTAAAAATTCACAATTATTTCGATTGTTTTACTGTAACACACTTTTCATATCAACAATATGTAGTAATAAAATATTACTATCATTATTATATTCGTTACTATTATTAGTAATTAATGAAATATTTCATAGAAATGCAGGTGAATGGAAAGATGGTTTTCAGTCAAATACAATTATGTAGGAAGATCAAAACTCTTTACAATCTAACATTATCATTTTTTATATCGATCCATACTCAAAAATCTCACAGCACACTACTATTAACATATCACTCTTGTGACAACAAAAATTTAACATTATTTTAATAGTTGCATAAATTTATATTTCTCATTTATTATTTTTCATAATATATTTTTAACTAGTAGAATAATTTGATACAATCTCACTGTTTATTATACTTAGTTATTTTCTTCATGCTAGTAATATATTTTATTATAATTTACAAATTACCAAAATAAAATTTAATATAAAGTCATATATGGAAATTTACTAATTTATACAACTATTTTTGCATATATGTGTATGCGTGTGTATGCGCGCGCCCATTTTGTAACTGTATATGTATATGTATGTACATACATATATATACATATAAATATACTTTTCAAAAAACATTTGTATACATTATTTTTAAAATGTCATAAAATTGATTATTTCGCTCTCGTTACATTCACCATAATTCCGGAGCAGTCTTAACCAGGACAGCAGCATAAGGTACGGTAGACTGTCTGCTTAGCGTGTACATGAATTAAAGTACTATTGAGGCGGAAATACCTGTTGTAGGAATCATAATAGTCTTTCCTGTCCGTAGGTGGAGGTCCCAATGACATAAGTGGTGGTGGATGACTTCCAGTGACTAGATGTGGCAGCAAAGGTGGTATATTATGCTGAGCTGCTTGGTTCCTTACTGGATATCTCGGCATTGGTCTATCTCGAGGGGGTAAATCCCTCTCTCGATCTCTGAATTGATAATCATGTGCCGGTGAATCATTGTAGTAACTATTGTATCCTTCTCTAGGTTCACGTGATCTTGGTCGATCTCTATCACGATCCCTCTCTCTTTGGAATCTAAAACCAATATTCACAATTATAAATCAATTACAAATCTTTAACTATAATATCAAATTAATTTCGAAAAGTATTATATAATACCTTGGAGGTGATCTAGCTGGTGATCGATATCTAGGAAGTAATTCTCTATCACGTTCACGATCACGTTCACGATCTCGTTCACGTTCCCGCTCACGTTCACGCTCACGTTCGCGTTCACGTTCACGGTCCCGTTCACGATCGCGATCACGGTCACGATCGCGATCACGATCTCGATCTCGATCTCGATCACGGTCACGATCTCGATCTCTATCACGATCGCGATCACGATCACGATCACGATCACGGTCTCGATCTCGATCTCGATCTCGATCTCTTTCTCTGTCTCTTTCTCTGTCTCTATCCCTGTCTCTATCTCGTGACAATGATAGTCTAGGAGACTGACTACGTGAATAAGATCTAGACCTGTAAATAACATAAAATATAAAGTATAAAATATTTTATTCGAGTAACAGTAAACACTAAAATACAATCACTTAAAGTACTATATCCTAGTTGATTAGTTTGAACACTAATCAATTGATGTAAAAATATGTGTTTTGATTTCTGAAATAACAATTTGAAATATTTAGGAGGAAATAAGACAATCAAGAGTCTATCAATATCTTATGGCATTGATTTAGAATGTATTCTTCTGTTACTGGATAGTGTTAACAATGGTTTACAAAAAATTTAAGTTTTTTTAAATGTTCAAAGTATTGAATAAAATTTAGTAATAGGTAATGAACTAAGTTGAAATTCAAAGTTAATCTACAATTTTTTCCATTTTTCTGCTTAGTATTAAATACCTATAGTTACAAACTATATGCTAATGACTTTAACATTATCATTTCAATATTGATTGAGACCACCACTTAATTTAATACAGTAATTTACAAGCAAGACATATTGTTTGAGTGGGACGGCTTGATTTGGCAAACTCTCAGATTACAAAGTTGTCATATAATTTGATATTACCTCAACAAACAATACATAGGGTGTTCTACATAATTGAAGCAATACAGTAATGCCCGCGTATATAACCATCGATCGTAACCGAGCGAAATTATATATTCGGGAGGCGTATTTCTGGGAATTAGAAATAAATTGCACGCTTACTCGAGTAAGTATGAAACATTAGAAGAAAGGAGCCATAGATAAAGATTGAGCATCGCCTTGAACAGACAGTTTTAGGAAGTGGTGGGGATAAATTGTGGTCATATACGCGGACAGATTCCTGGCTATATACGCAGTCATTACTGTACATAGTTTCAAAACGCTAAAAATAAAAAAAATATCGTAAAACAAAACTAAATAGGATGAATCATATTGTGGAATTAATTTTATATAACAAAATTAATTTAAAAATTATTATATGTATTATTATATATTATGGAATATTTATGTTATAATAAATATTCGAATATTCTTCTAGTACACTCAAAACACTTTGCCACATTCTTCTTCACATTGCTTAACACGAATTATGTCACTTTCCTTAATTTATGATAATCCTCGCAAATGTTACGATAATGTAGTAAAACATTGTACAAATTTGGAGATATACTCCAAATAATAAGAGATAAAGTTTTCTCGCCCATTACTATTCATTATTAGTATTTATGACACTCAATTATATAATATGTGAAAATGATATATGAAAAAAAGATAGAAAAATTTAGAGTACAAAAGATTATTAAAACTTTTGTTATAACATAATTATAACATAACAGTTTAAATATTCTGATAGGTTTTGCAGCAAATGGAAAATTACATCTATTAATATAATCAAAATTTGTCACTTAGAAAAAATGTATGCCTTTAAAAAAAGTTTTATTGTATTTCTCAACTGCATGAATACATAAAAATGCATAAAATTAATTTCAGGATATGATTCATTATCAAGATATGATTTATATACCATTTAATTTGTGACTTTTTATGATATTTTCTACTTCTAAAGTTTTAAAAATACAATTTATCCTGGTTTAGTGAGATACCTTGTATATATAATTATGTAAAATAAGTTTATAATTATTTAGTAGCCGTCGTTAAACTATTGAGACACATTGCTTCCAATATTTGTATCTCCTCCTATATGTGGCTTTAAACACTGTGAATGGTGCTAACTTACCTACTAATTGAGAAACTTCCACTTCTTGATCTACGTTTTGGAGTACGACTTCGTGCTCTAAGAGGTAGAGGTGATCTTGAAGACCTTCGTTTTGAAGGAGGACTCCTAGATCGACTTAAACGAGGTGGAAATGGTGATCTACGACCAAACGAACGTGATCTAGATCTACTATAACTACGGGATCTTGATCGTGTTCTACTCCTTCTTCTATGTTTTCCAAGTCTTCTATCTCGTTCATCTTTTTCTCTAAGCATTCGTTCAAAAGCTTCTAGTGGATCATCGATTATACTGTAAAATAATGTTAGTATTATGAAATACAAATTTCTTTTATTACTTTAAAAAATAATATTTATTTTATATCACATAGTTACCTTTATTAAAATACAACTTACCCAGGTGGATTGCCATTATGAATATTTCTACCTAATCCTGGTGGTGGTGGTTGTAATCCTCTATAACTAACTGAAAAAATTTACAATGTTTTTAAATATATAATACTCAACAAGTTATCTAAGATTAAAATATAATAATGTTGATTTTAGTAATATAAAAAAACATCTGTGAGGAAAAGTACATTGTGTAAAAAAAAGCAAATATAATAAAAATGCACCTCTTTATTAATAAATTCTGTTAAGTTTTCTTTTAATTAAGTTTCTTTTCTTTTTTTAATATTGACAAAAAATATAATTTAGTTAATATAATTATGTTACACATTTAAAAATATAACGCATAATTTATTACATAAAAATGTAATATATAATGTATAATTAAATTATTCATTAAAATATTACTTACGATGATGTAATCCTCGAATTGGCCTTGGTGGCCCATTATAATTTCGAGGTGGTTGTGATGGTCTGTATCCTTGTTGTTGATAAGGAGGTCTTTCATATCGTGGAGGTCCATAATGGGAGCCTTGCTGATGAGGGTACATAGGTATTCGATGACTCATATATGGATCCGGCAATAAAGGTGGATTATGTGGGGGTACATTAGGTGGAGGTTGATTATAACTTGGCTGAGGGATACGATCTTCTCCTGGTGGAAAAGGTAAAAGAGGTGGCTGATTACCAGAAGAAGGCACATGTAAATGTGGTTCATCAACCTGAAATGATGATATATGTGTATATACATATATATACATACATACATACATACTACATATATGTAATATATGTAAGCATATGCAAGTGTATATATGCATATATATGTACACTAGTATATACTTACATATTTTTAGACTTATAATATACTTATATATATATGCATAATTCAAAACATTAACTTCAGAAGTATATTTTGAACATTTAAATCAAAAGAGAAGTTCGCATAAACTGATATAAGTTTGCTTCTATATTATAATTAATTTTGCATTGAACTATTTATTCACTTGCTTCCATAAAAATTATTCAAAATACTTTCAATCATATTACAAATTTTTAACCAGTATTTTATAAATAAGAAACTTTAAGTATATATTTAGATAAAAGTCTAAAAAATTTAAGTCAACTGAGTCAAACATTTATTTAGGAATTACTTACTGAAAATTGTTTTATTACTCGTTTAAAACAAAATAGATTACATTTGTGCATAAATCAAACAGTAATTGTGATTTAAAATCCAAAGAAGAGCACAATTCATTGTAAAAGGTTCAAGACAATTGAAGAAAGAGCTTAGTTTATCATAAAAATTACAGAATAATTGAAGCACAGCTTATCATAAAAACTACAGGAAGAGAAATATGACTATAACTATGTTCGAGTTATGAATTATCTTATGCATATATATGTTACTAATATTCTTAAAATGATTAAAATTGATAATTGAAAAGTCAATTATTATTATTATTATTAACTGTTAAATATATACATGTTATCATGTATACATAACACTGTATAATGTTTAAGTATCAAGATTATGGAACTTTTAAAATGAGCAATATCGTTTACAACATTAAGATAAAACATTTGATTACACTTACTGTTGGAGTGCCCGGACGATCTTCAGTTGATCTGCGTATAGCATTATCATAATGTATATTAGGTGGATAATGTCCATCATCAGATGACAACCCTTGATAATTTTTTGATGGTGGAGGGTTCATTAAATGTGGCAAAGGTGCTCCTTGAGAACTATAGTCACTATGTTGTGAATGTCTAGGAGATAAGGATCGTCTTCGACTTACAGGCCGTAAATTTTCCATTCTACGACCACGTTCTCCACTTCTAAATAATGATTATGTAAATTGAAATATGATAGTTTGATACCATAATCGATATAATCTTAATTAAAAAAGAATGTTATTCATCTACATTATCTTAATAAGTGTTTACAAGCTATAAATACTAATATATTATATATAATATAATATATAAGTATAAAATATTATTGCAAATTATAAAATTAATTTTATAACATTAGTTTTATTTTGGTATTTAAATATTTTTACCTATCACGATGTCCGTCCCTGCTGAAACTTCGTCTACGTTCTCTTGATTGTCTTTCTCCTGGATATTCATTTTCACGTTCTTTCTTTTCACGACTTGGAGGATCACTTATTTCC